AGAAAAGAAGGGCTTGGTGGGAAAACTGGGGTGTTCTTCTAGGATGCTCCATACTGTAAGTAACTTACTTTGCAAGTAAGTCCTTGCAAAGCATTTGGGGAGATTTTTAGTCTGAAAGACACTTTACAAAAATAAATTGTAATTGAGTTTAATAATCTTCCCCTTTTCAGAAAGGGCCTGACAGATGCTGCCTAGTGCTCACTTCTGCCCCATTTCAAATATTTTTACCTTATTTGGATGAAATATATTATTTTTCTAATGAAAGGAGGTGGTTTTTTTTTTTTTTTTTCCAAAGAGCTGGTTTTCCCTTCGTCCAGCTGGTGCCTTTATTAGGTTAGTGCTTGCTCCCTTTTGGGGATGGGATTGTTTTTTTCCCTGAGCTGGGAGAGACCATGCCAACCCCTCGATCTACAAGTGTGCAGTTCAGAGCTTCTACTGCACAGCAAGTGGAGGAGTTGGGTCCTGCCCTCCACCTCCCCTCTTCCCTGATACCCTGAAATTCACCTTAAGTACATTTCCATTATTTTATTTCATTTTTTGAGAGCATACATAGTGGTAAGAGCCAGCCTTTCATCAGCATAATAGATGGACACAGCTCTAAAGGTGCCTACAGAGGCTGACTCCTGAGGAGGCAGCATAGTCTGGGGATAAGATGATAAAAGGGAAAATGAAGAAAGCTGGAAGCTCTCTCCTGTGCCCTTAGGTAAATAATTTCCTATGTTTCACCTCCCAGCATCCCTTTACTTATGTTTTCAATCCCTGGAGGCCAAGCCCCTCTCTTGCTTTGCACTTGCATACCACCCAATGGTATAAGAGGTCAAGTCCAGGCTGGAAGACTCTGAGCGCAAGCTTAACATCAGTTTTTGGTGTGCAGGGTCACCACCACATACAATTTGTGCTTAACATAAAGCACCACCACACAGAAGGGACCTTCCAAAGCTTCCTGTTATCAAAGCCCTTCGGAAACATTTATGTGCTCCACAACCTGTTGGGTGTGGAGGGTCTAGTGAAGCATGGAGACCTTGACTTTAACACAACAGGTCTGCAACAAAAATCTACTCTGGACCTGCTGTCTAGCCTTTGTTTTCCCCAAATATCACACTGCTCCACCAAAGGAAAAGCAAAGGCAGCCTCCATTTCTGTAGCAGGCACTGCAAATGAAAGCAACGGAGTAGACACAGACTGGGTTTTTCCACAGCCCCCTCCCTGCCCCATGCAGCAGGCCAGCATATACCCTGCTTCCTTCCACCAGTACACATCAGGATAGACCTTCTGGCAACCCTTCTAACAAACCCCAGACCAGGGTGAGGTAGCCACTGGAAATGCAGTCAGTTCTCCCACTCTATTGAAGACAAAATCAAGAGATAATATAGTTAATAAAAAGCACTTACTTGCAAGAAGAACTTGAGTTGCAATAAGTAAAGGCCAGATCTAAAATGTCTGCCTCCAAGCCAGGGCAAGCTGGCTAACTGACCAACGCAGGCTGCTCCAGGAGGATAGTGCAGCTCCTCTTACACAGCTGTGCAGTCCAGGCTATTAGGGGACAGTGGCTACAGCTGGGTGGTGTGCTGCAGCCTTGCACTGCTCTCACTCCAAAGCACAGCCAGCAATAGGGCTGGGGCTCTCACTCCAGGGCACAGCAGTTAACGGGGGTTGGGGTTTTTGTGCAAGCTGCAGAACCTAGCATGAGACCTGGTTCCCAAAGTTGGCCATCTCTGCAACTTGTCTTGGTCACATCTTTGTATTTACCAGCCAGCATTTTTTACCATCACATGTGGAAACTGAGGCACACTTCGAAGTAAAATACTTTGCAAAGCGTCACGCAGCAAAGCAGCAAGATCACAAGGGATCCTACAGTCCTCCTTCTGATCCCAAACACTGTTAGGTTACACCCCCAACACACAAAAGGCAATAAAAAAAAATATTCTTGCTTCTGACGAAGATGCACATAGGACTTATTTGTCACATCTGGGGGTGAGGAAGGTTAGACAAAGATGATCAGGAGACATCTCTCTTAACCCTTTTCCATTTTGTCACATTTTTTGAGTTCCCCACATTTCTATTGCAGCTATCGAAAAGGGAGCTTTTATATCCTCAAATTACTGGAAAGCACCAGCCTCATATTGTTTCCTCTAGGAGAAAGAGCACAGGCTCACAGGGTTTCACTGAAATGTGCTCAAATGACAGTGTTCAGAGGAAGCTCCCTTCACCTGCTTTCTATACGCTATCAAGGACCTATAAAAACCATGTTATGAACCCACCGAACTCACCAACTGGGGTATTGTTACTCTTCTTCCTGTGTCAAAACAAAGGCTGATTACACAGTAAAATAGAGTACTTGAATAAATCAGATGGTAGGTAACTGCTGCTGCTTTCTTGTTCTGCAGAAAAAAGGTTCGCTACCTGGTCATCTTTCAGCTAGTATGATGCCATTCTCAGTGCCTACTGGCCAGTGGGCTAAACATTTCACAGGGCAGCTGGTCTAAGAAGTTTGTTTCTAGCAAAAAAAAAAAAACAAACCAAAACAAGTTAGCAGTCGGGCTACATGGTTCGTAAGGACCAAAATACCCTACAACTGTTGCTATGCTGGAAAGACAAGGAACACGAGACAGAGGAATAAAACTCGTGATTCACAACAATACCTGCTGGTAGGAAGGTCTGGCTTCTTCCAAATTCTCTGCTGGTGGGTTGGATCTCTTCAACAAAGTACACAAACACCCCACCAGCAGCCAGAGGCCCAGAGTTCGATTTTTTTGAGCAACAATGGCTATGATGGAGTTTTCTGGGATTCATCAGGTTGGGGAAAGAAAAAACTGTGACCTATTGAATTGGTAAAGGTTGTAAGAAGCAAAAACTAAGGGAGGGAAAAGGGCACTCGAAGAAAACTGCCTTTTACTCTGCACCAGAAATCTTGAGGTAAATGAATTGAACACTGGCAACATGGAGGAAAAGGGGGGAAAAATGAACCCGCAGGGATGCTTGCACTGTAAACCTCGTAAGTCACTCTGCAAGGCACATACCTCAGCAACATATTTTCCACATTTCACCAACTGCTGTTGTCCAGGCACTTTCTATTTTCAAAACCTTCTATGTATATAAAATGTACACAGGCAGGACAATACTTTTTCATCACATCCCTGCGTTCAGTCGTGTTTTCTTTTCACGAGGATTCTTGGCGTGGAGAAATGAAAAGTGCCATCTCTTAAGAAAAGCCTCTCCTTTTAAACACTTTCAAATTTGCCCTGTTTTAGCTAAACGTGATGTTCTTTGTGAACGTTAAACAGTGGAGAGAGACTGAGCGGGAGAGGGAGAGGGAGAGAGAGACACACACACACTCACTCACTCCTGGGGAAGATATTCGTCCATTTAAGGAATGAGAAATCATCACATTCAGCAGCAGGTCTAAATACAGTAATATGAAGGTCCCTTTCGCTCTCCCTGAGCAGGAAAATGTCACTGTGTACCAGACACCCAAATACTCAGGAATCAAGTAAATCCCTCATTTTTAAGAAGGGAGCCAAATACTTCTGTTGAACAAAGATGGGACTGCAGTAGCTACGAATTACTTGCTGCACGCCATTTCTTTCAATGGCTTCTGTACTGACATGGCAGGGTTAGACCAGTCATGGGATACGGCACAGCATTCCCTGCTGGTAGATAAGACTAAGGGGCCGTGGGATATCTCACACACTCCCTTCAGCACCTCCTGCTGCTGGGGGTGGAAAGGAGCGGGACGCTGCATTCTGCACCCTGCAGAGCCTCCTGCTGGGAGGAAAGGAACCGGAACAGCTGCATTTTACTCACTGGACGATACATCCATCTCACCCTCTGCAACATTGGAGGCAACCTGGCATTACAGTGTTGTTGGAGCTATTTGTATTGTACCTTATATTGCACTTACACCATTCTCTACACTGCCTCCTGCTGATATAACCTAGTATCAGAGCAGTCAGAAAATCAACCATCAATGTCCTTCAGAAAACATTTTATAAGGACTGAATTTTTGTAATAGTCCCTTTTCCCTCCCTTTACCACCCTGCATGCATATTTCTCCCCAAAATAAGAGCCACAGTAATCCAGTAACAGCCTGGTGTTAAATAGTGGTAACTCATATTTATTACAATTATATACAATCGTATTTTATATTTGAAATCTATACATGATCACACAGACGAGCACACTTGCTTGGTGAGGACAGTGAGACTCAGTTGTTACAAGAATTGCTCTGCTAACAGGCTCTGATGCAGTGAGTAATATAATTGGACACCACCATTTTACCAGCTGAGAACACAATGCCGCAAATGAGAGGTTTCAAAAGTCACTGTTTTAATTTGTGTATAGCCCCAATGGGGCAAAAAAAGGCTGGACTGGGCAAGAAGGGCCAGTGGTGTACCTCAGAGCTGGAACCGTTCTCTCTTCTGTAAAGACTGATTTGCTGAAGCAGGTGCCTGTCACTGGGTCGGTGCAGGTCTCAGCTAATCATTTAAGATGGGTTTTCTCCTCATTTAGGGAGAAAAACAGGCTAAGAACCATTGCAAAGATTCAGAATTAACCAACTATTTCAGCATCTGATATCACCTCATTCATTCATTCATTCAGGGCAGCTATAAATAAAATGTAAGATGTCAAAAACTGATGTAAGCTCCTTGTCTTTGGAGGAGGAAGGGTAATAATTGGGATGAGTGGGGTCAACTTCTTTTAAAGCCTTCTTTTACTGGGGAGCAATCAGTAACAAAGCCACTTGTTCTCATGGATTTTACTGTGGCCATGAAACCTGGACTTGGTCCCTAGCAAGAGGCCACTTTGACGAGTGTAAGCATTTGGGGTGAAAATAGTATTCTTTGGATCCCACAGAAATTTAGTGGTTTTAGATGCTAGGTAGTTTCAGGAATTTGAGGCTTGACATAAGGCTTGGAAGAGCCAAGACTGAGATCTGGTGAGGAATTCAGAGTTAAAACTTTCTTTTTTTGGCAACAGAATATCAAGTAGTTTGAGAAACAAAACAGAGGGTTATTTTGGGAAACAGAGAACTGATTTGGGCCTTATGTGGGGATTAAAGGCTTGTGAAATCAAAGAGCTCAGGACAGATTGGTTTCTGAAATTGGATAGAAGGATTCCAGGATGCAGCGAAGAGGCTGACTGTTTCAGGAGAGATGGTGTTTTTTTAAGAGGACTTATTCTGTAGCTGTGGTGCATGGTAAGGCGATTGGTCTTCCAGCCTAGGCAGTGACCCCAGCTCATGGGGAGAAGGTGGGTCTGGGAGGGGCGAAGAAGCCACTGCAACACTGCAAAGCCCTGTGGTGAAACAGGGCCCACCTTGTTCACTGGGCAATCATGACCCTACTCAAGGTCAATCATGGGAGAATCACTGGAGGGGATGGTGGCACTTCTCTCCACAAAATGGGAGAGGCACCAGGGACAGTGCAGGAGGCTAGGGAAGATGTACAGCAGCAGCAGCAGAAGCCAGGGTGCCTTAGTCAATCTCATTCTCATTGCTAGCCCCTTCAGGTCTTCGTAGCTTTTCCACTTGCTCATTAATCTGACCATCCCCTCCTCGCCGGTCCTCAGTCTGGACACCCAGACATTCTTCCTCATCCACATGGCTAACATCATCATCCTCATCGTCCTCTTCCTCCTCTTCATTCCTTTTGTTTTCCCTTTTCTCCTCCTCACCCTGCACCTCCATCCGCACTTGGCTCTTGACGTCAATCACTGCCTTTTTGCCCTCCTCTGTGCTCAGCAGATGGCAGCTGACCTTCGAACCCTCAGGGCTGTGGTTCTCCTTGACTGGTGACGAGGTGGTAGACTCGTTGCTGACAGGTGAGATGTCACTGCTGCTATTATGGTTGGCAACAACAGGGTTGGAGGGTGAGCTTGGCTTCACTGGGATCTGCCATGACGGGATCTTAGGAGCCGAAGGGGAGGGAGGGAACTGCCTCCTTGGGGGAGGGAAAGA